TTTACTCTCTTGCCTGTCTTTTTAACATAGCACTTGAGACAGTTATTCGTGATTCAAACATCAGTAGATATACGTTTTCTAGATCACTACAGCTGCTTGCATATGCTGATGTGATTACGAGGACCTTTCCTGCTCTGAGGAAGGCTTTCCTTGCCGTAAGTTGTCGGCAAGTCGAATGGGATTAATTATAAATGAGAAAGCCGCCCAACCGATACAGTGGTTAGCGTTGCTAATTGCCGGGCCGAAGGGCCGGGATTCGAATCCCGGAGGAGACATGGATGTTTGTAAATGCATACTATCCTTGCGGCATGGGGGTACTCTAAATATGCGACGGGCCGAAAGTCTTCTCGAGAGATTGTGGTATGGAAAGAGGGGTGGGTGACTCTCGGATCCGTCTACCCCGGGTGCTCTCCGTCCAAAATTGGGGCGGAACTGAGCTAAATTCCATTGTCACTTGTAAGGTGCTCAAGGCTGTTGCCAACGTGAATTTAAGCTGCTTACCAAGAGGAATTTCGTGGGCTTGGGCTGATATAGGTTAGACACGTGAGCATTAACAACAACAATAAGTGAGAAGGAAAAAAATGTAAGTCTTGTAAAGTTTTAGTTAATTTACGTCTCCTTCGCAACTAGAACTTTGGGGGAGAGTCTAGCGATTGTTTGCTGGTCTTCTTACAACTATAAAAACAAGTTCAAATAAGGCTTAAAATACTCTTTTATTCACTCAAAGAAATATTTGACAAATGTCCCTTCTCGGGCTTACAGGAAGGCCTCCACTTGGTTTTTAACTTAAGATAGTAAGTAAGGAACTAAACTAATTCTAACTAATTAAATTTAGCCGAAGCTGCACAGAAATAACTAACCGAGTTGGCCCGCAATTGAACCTCACCCACGAACACTAACAAACACGTAAGACTGTGGCCGAACGTAGTCAGATAGGCTTAAAAGTAATAACGACGTGGCCCAAAGGCAGAACACCCTCTACTGAAAACTTCTCTTCTACGGAAATGACTGTACCTCATTTACATAAAACGCAATACTGAAAACTCATTCTGGTAGGGAGTTACAGGTGGGAAACAAGAATTTAAAGGAAGGGTTTCAAAATTAAAAATAATTATTAGAAAATTTAAATAATTATTGCAGTCTTTTCGAAAAAAAGAGAATTCCCAGCTCCCTCCCTTAGACTCGTATGAATTTGAATCAGTGAAATGTTTTGTCCGTTTGAGGTCTATTATTATTATTACTACAGTTACCTCCTGAAATTCAGAATCGGCTATATTTGGCAAATAAGACTTTCAATATGTTAAGATTTTTCAGATCTAAATTTCTTTCAAGAGAAACGAAGTTTTTGATTTACGAAATGCTTGTCAGACCTGTTTTGACATATGCATTCGAGACCACTGAAAGAAAAATTCTGCGGAGTATTCTTGGGATCTGCTATTTGCAAGAGATATAATTTTGAACTTTCCAAGATATACCTACACACTGATATCTTAAAATATATGCAAATTAACAAGATGAGTTGGATGGTTCACGTGATCCGAATGCAAAATGACAATATTGTAAAAAATACATTGCTTTTTAAATCCACTGGAACCCAAAAGCGGAGAAGATCGCAGCTGAGATCGACTGGTTCTCTGGAGTCGGATTTTCTAAGAGAGAGGAACATGAGATCGAAAATAACCGAAGAGTCATCGTGAAGAAATCTTCAAAGGATGCCATCGGCCACTGATGATAATGATGAATCTCCATGATATATTGTTAAATAAAAATGAACTCTTAAGTACTATCAAGAGAAAGTTTTACGTCCGATAAAAAGAAGTCAGAAGAAATTTCATTTCTTTACCTCAATGAATTTCGAAGAGTTGAAATACCATTAAGTTCAAATTATTTTTCTGTTTCAAGTTCATTAATTATCATATCTATTTTAAATAAAAGCTTATATATATAAAGTATAAAAACCATTTTAGCCCAAAAAGAACGTTAGTCCGAATAGGCTGTTAGTCTGGAAACAGGATTTTTCGTCATCCACTATAAATGGCGAATATATAAAGAAACTCGGCTTAAATAGTAAAGAAAAAGAAAATAAGATTAAATAATAAAGAAAAAGAAAACTGAAAAATTTCAGATTTTAAATTATGTCCAAAGGGCCGTTTTTTTAACATTTTGTGTGTTACCTTTATTTATTAAATATCATGTTCTTCGCACTTAAACCATAAAATTCAGTTTAAGAGCAATATCGCAAAATAATTTTAAACTGAGCATGTAACACAGTCTCGTGTGCTGGAAATAAAAATGTGTTTTCTGTACAACGTTGCCATTGCTTACTTTGAAAATCCTTGAGCCTGTTAATCGAAAATTCGTTAAAGTGTTTCAAAATAGGAAATAGATAATAAAACAAATTTCAAATTTGGACTTCCAGATGCCCATAATCGCAGTAGGATTACGTCGTTCAAAATTGGATGGCTCTAGGTACCGTTGTTTTATCACAATGCGAGAAATATGCATACATTTACACAGATTTTTCATTATTTAATTTCTTCAAATATAATGCAGGACGATAATATTTGGTGGCAACAGTTTGAAAAGTGAAATGACATTCAGAGTGATTCGACGCAAACCAGCGCGTTAGTCCCTCAGGACAAAGTCCCTTTGCACTAAAAATCTAAATCGAATTTTGAAAAATTCGCTTCACAACAATATATTGTCATTAACAAGCAGTATGTGTACAAAATTTAAACTCGTTAGCTTATCAATGAATAGTATACTAAAAATCCAAGACTAAATTCCGACCCCGGTTAAATGCCATTAGAGAATTAAACAAAACTTATAAAATTATGAATTTTGTTATATGACTATTCGCAACATTAAAAAATCGTCTTCTATACATGCAGTACGAGCACTGGTACATGTTTAAATTCAGTACTGCAAAATAATAAGTGGCAGTAGTGTCTGTATTTGCATCCTTTGGGTTCTCGCGTTCATTGGCTGCAATACTGACACAACTGAGTTTGCACCATGTTTCTTCTTACTTTTATGATGTAACATACTAATAGATTAAAATCATAACACATAAACTTCTTGTTGTCGGCCACACGAAAAATTAAAGAGATTATACTCAGTCTAGTTGAATAAAAGTATTAAAGGATGATTGAAATCAAGCCATCTCAGTATGCATCTTTGATTAAAATGCATATTTCCATTGATTTATGATACCCAAAATTTTTCTAGATTACAATACTTCCTTTACTTTGTATAAGGAGTAATAAAACACAAAATGGGTATTCCTCGTACGACAAAATTCGATCGAGATATTTACTTTCAAAATTTGCGATATCTGACATCCTAAATTTGCTTTGAGAGTTTAAGAATTAGAATTAGTAGAGGTTGATTTCCGCCTTAAATCCAGTCAATCATATTTTTTTGTGACTTACTGGTGTCTAAATGCAAAATGTAGCAAAATTATGTCTAAAGCATAATTTTGCATTTTTGCATGCAGAAAGAATGTTCACCCAATTTATAGGTTTTCAAGATTTAAAAATGCATTAAAATTCTCGTGAAGTTTTATTACCTTAGAAGTCTTGTCAACTGAATGTTTTTTTTTCCAAGTAATGCTATTAAATAAACCGTTACGAATTTTTTATATATGTAATTTACTGAAATTATATGTGAAATTGTAGTATCTTTTGTATAAATTTTTAATGTAATGGTGGGCACTTGCCTAAGGAAACTCCTAAGGCCAGACGTGGTGCTCATTTTATTGTGGAGGAACATAATAGGTGGCTACCGCTGTCTCCTATGAAGGTACGGACAGTTACAACCAACCATGACTTTTCCGGGAATCGAACTCGGGTTTTTCGGTGCCGCAGTAGGCTCTCTTAACCACTATACCGTCTAGACGGCTCTTTTGTATAACGTGAAATGTCATCAAGTTAGCGACTTTTGGTGATCTGTCACCAAATTTGAAGACAAAAATTAGTCGTCAAAACTATCACCAGCTTGTCCCTATAATCTTATTTTTCCGGCAGAGCTTCGTCTCTTTCAAGTATTTTATGTTACATTATCTTTTGTGTAATTTTTGTGATGTTTTAGAGGAGTCGTTTTTGTCTCCAAATCTAGCTAGAAATCGCCAAAAGTCGCCAAATCGGGGACATTTTTGTCCAGTCCCCATATAACTAAAACTGGTACTGAAATGAATAACTGTAATTGATCCCTATGTGTAACTATGAAACGTATCCAGCCCTTATATGTAACTTTAACCGTATATGCCTTCCAGTAATTTGGAGAAATGGAAGGTACCAGAGATTTCTCGGCTGCCGAGGTAAAACTATATAAACCCGAAGAGAGCATTCGTTCTCAGTTGTTAATTCAGAGCTAAATTCGGAGTAATGAGACATTCGTGAGAGCTTTGCATTGCATTGCATTAGACGTTCTTAGTAGTTTGAAGTGTAAACTACTAAGAACCTTTGTGGTATTGAGAAGAGCCTGTACGAGTATTTTTATGGAAAGTTCCAGAACTGTAAGGTGTTTCTTTTTGGTAAAAAATATTTTATCAAGCTATCATCGGTTCTTTGTGCATTCAGTCAATTAAAAGCCCGTACGCACGTAACATTATTTCTATATGTCGAAAAATAAAGCTTTAGACCATTTAAAACATGTTTGTAACTAAAAATATATGTATACTGCCAACGTTTTCAAAAATAAAGGTAAGATAAGGACTTTGGGCTCCTTATCTTATGGAGAATACGGTGCATATATCTTATCACTTGAGGTTAAATTTGTATAATTATTTATATTGCTCTTCTGCTTTTAAATGTTTTTAGGCCAGCGTAAACTGTTTTTATTGATGCACTGACTATTTCGGTCAATTTTTAAGATATTTTTGTATGTTTGCTTGCTGATGAATCAGTTGAAAAACAGAAATATACCAAAAGGAAAAGGGATTTTATAGAAATAAATTTGCATCTTGGAAGAGACGTAAATAATTTAAATAAAACTGCAAACACAGTCAAACTATTTTTATTTATTTATTTATATTATACTTTTTAGAGTTATTAGGGACACTTCATCGTAATATGTACAAAAGGATAAAAATCTAAGCTTTTGGATTAACAGCAAGGAATTTCTAACAATTTAGCAAATACCTGTTTGGCTCTTAAAGTAATAAGAAAACCTTAAATTTGTTATATCTTCCCAGTTTTTAACGATAATGCTTTCATTTTAGTGTCGTTAATAACCTTGGTAATCACAGCTGGTCTGCTTCAAAGCTTTGCCTGAAAGAAAAACGTTAAATGTCATTAGGCAGAATTGAAAACACTTTGAAATTCTCATATTTAAGTTCATGGGCGCCCCAAAACAAAACCTAAATAAGAAGTAACTCCTATAATTTATGTAGTAATTAATTCTTAATTATTCCTAAAAGAAACAAAAAAATAATTAATTATCAAAAAAATCATAAAACATGAGCAAGTAAGTTCTAGAAATACATATTCAGTTGTTCGGAATCGACGACATCCCTTGCTGCCGGTTAAAAGAGATTCTCCTATATTCTTTAATTAGCGAATTAAAAAAGTCGTCCTCCCCGGATGGGACGTCATCCAGTGTCAAGTTGAAGTAAAAAATAAAGATATTTATAATTACTTACATACAAATGCATATAATGTAATTTATGCGATGAAAAAATGAATAAGTAAAAGAACGAGACAAGGTATTTATCCTCACGTTTGTCCCGCTTGGTAATTTCTTCTTAAAACTTAGAAGAAAATTTTCATAATTTATTTGTTTTTAGTTAAAATTAATTAAAGTTATTTAATGATTAATCAAGATTGAATAGCAATTGTTAGAGCTATTCGAAAGATATGTTAGTCTAAGAATTTAATATTGAATTACAAATTGCAACCAACAAAATATCTTATAGATACCAAACTTTAGATTTCATACAGAAAATTAATATAAATTTGAATTTTTTTCTTTAGCGATGTTAGTATTATTGTTTATGTATGTTTTGATAAACAGTAAACGAAATTTAAAATTTATTTTAAATATTTTTTGATAAAATTTTTCATTTCGTTAAAAACGAATTCTGGCTCATCAGCTGTTTCTAAATTGAGCATTCGGCCCGCATGGAATTTTGAGTTTGAGACCACGGTATAAACAATAGAATGATATCAATCTGAACGTCGTTCTGTAAGAGCGCCCAGCGTTTGTAGATAGAAACGTTTATGCTCTTTGACCTTTCTTTTCGCTCAAGACAGTGACGTATTTTATCTAGCTTCTCAGTGATGTCATTTTACCCATTTGTCAGAAACCCTGCTTTGGAATAGGATGTCAATGTCACAATGTTGGTTGACATTGGTCAAGAAGATCAAACCTTAACTCGGGATCAAACCTTAACTAACTTTATCGAATCGTCACTTCAAGATATACTCTTCTCACCTTTTCAGGGCTGAGAACGCTCCCAAATCACATGCCATTAAGACCAGGGTTGATCCTAGAGGGGGCAAGATGGTCACAGCAAACGTATTATATTCCTGTAGAAAGGGCGGACAATTTGCATTTGCAGTTTTGCTAGTGGACGCTATTAGTCGTTACTTTATTGACAGTCTCAAAGGATAGGCACTGATTAAGACTATAATTTAGGTAAATATCTATAGTTTTATTGAAACTTATAAAAGGGAAGAAATTCTTAAAATAAAATTCAGTAAAGAATTCTTATTTTCCTAATTTTTCTGAAATTCTGAAATTCATTCAAAATTCTTTATATATAGGTTCCTAAAATTTGATATCAACATAAAACAATAAATACAAGCAACAAAGAGCTATATCAACTTTGGAAAAATTTAGGATGCAGATACTATCTTATATTCAGTTCACTAATTATTTTTCCAATACAACATGGTAAGCATGCAAATAATGAAACCGAAATTAACAAGAACTGTAAATTATTATACAGGATTTATATCCTTTTTAATAATTTAGTTTTTATTTAATTCTGTATACAAGGATAGGGATGCAAAACAAGGTTGCATAAATTAAGTACTGTTTCTTAAATTGGTATAAAAAAGTAATTCTTTTAAATATTAATTTAATTTCTTAGGCCTGTCACTTTAGGTTTTAAGTGAAGCAACAGATGGCGCCACCACTAGAAGTGAAAATTATATTGCAATTGTGGGAAAGCATATTTTATTGTCAGGAATTAGGTTTTGTTTAATTGTTTTGGTTTATTTAAGGACGCAACACTAATTGGCCTATAAAATACAATGTTATGTGTTATAATACTGTGTTGCATCAATCAAATTTTCAGCATATGAATTTGGAGGTCCTTTGATTTCAGGGCTTAATTTCTAAAATTAGCCCCATGGAAAGCCGTCAGCAAAGAGGAATAAAAGTAAATAAATATATAAATAAAATGACTATTAAAATAATAATTAAAAAATTAAGTATTTAATTATAATCAAATTAATTAATAATTATTTGATTAATTTTTCAAGTATTATTTAATTAAATAATTATTATTTAATTAAATAAAAAGTTAATTATTATTTATTTAAATAATTAAGATTAAAGTAATTAAATAATTAAAATTAAATAAAATGTAAAGAGATAAACTAAAATTTAATAAGCAATTTTTAATATATATTTTATTGCAGAAAGTAAAATTTTCGTGATCAAATTTCTACTGAAATTGTTGTTCAGTTATATAAAAGAAGTGCCGGAACCTTCTGATTTAGGGCTCCGGTTCGCTCCGCCTAGAATTATGATTTATGCCAAAACTAAGAAGTACTGGAGCCGGGATCCGAAGGGCTGTGGTGCACTTTAAGCTCTGTTTGATTTGCAATTTGTTTGGAGTCCTTTGATTTAAGCAAAGAAGTTTCAAAACTTTATTTGAAACGTAGAAGCACTGACAAATTCTAGTTAATACAAAGCTACTATAATCTCAGAATAATTGCTTGGCAAGGAGTCCAAGAAATACATAATACACAGTATAAGGCAGATATACACCTATAATAACTTCAGAAATTTGAATTAATAAAGACTAGTTGTTTATCATGTAAAGATATACAAATTTCTTTGTTTCATTTATTAATAATTTAATCAGGATCTGATTTATTCAAGGGAATGTACCAAGTACCCTCACCGTCAGGAAGGGTCCCCCCTCCCCCCAAATTTTTCAATATTATTTAAATACGTAAAATCTTATTTTATTTTCAATTTATTTAGTTTAATTCATTTCACTATTCATTTATTTTAATTATTATTATTTATAATTATAAGAACAAAAAATATTCATTTCTATATTCATGTACAATCTTGTTATTCTTTGATTGTTTATAATAATCTAGTAAATCAATATTTTCTAGTTTCATTTTTTGTTTCATTTTTAATTAATTAATCAGTTTTCAATTCTAGGCTTTAAAAGATAATATTAAAAGCAAGAATGAAATTTTTAATTTCGTATTTTAGTTTTCATGATTTTCTTCAAAACTGAGCCTTTGTCTATCACTCTTATTGGCAAACGATATCATTCACTTGTATATTTTATTATCCCTCCTACTAGAAAAGCGTAGAAGAAAAAGATTTCTTCACGATGGGAAGAAATCTAGTTTTTCAAATTTACATTCAGTTCATAAACTTTATTATTAAAAAGATAAGAATTGCATTAATTTGGTCCTATATTTGCAGTTTCATTAATTAAGATTAGTAATCAGCATGAAATTTTTAGATTTTTTTTCTTAATTTTTTCATGGGGAAAGGAAAAAAAAAAAAACTCATTTAAAACAGTCATAGTTTACATTATAAACTGACACTACGAAAAAAAAAAAAAAAAACTTTGCAGAAAGGTGAAATGTACGTTATATTTAAACAAATTTCACTGAAAAAATATTGAATTAGTAGATTGCTTTCTGAAATTTATACGACGGTAACTGGCATCAGTAAAACCTGAGTTCCATATTCTGAGTAAGAAAAATGGGGTAAAGCGTCGAAAAGAAATTTTATCCTGTTTCTCCAGTTTAATAGATCGAGCCTTGCATTTAAATCCAACTAACTGAAGTACTCGGCTTTATCCGAGATCTCCGCAGAATGAAGGAGGTTCATTTAATAGGATCGCGAAATAGTTTTCGAAATCCGTTTCGAAGTATTCTCGAAAATGGGATTGAAGATGCACTTGAATTCTGCTATAAATAAATGTGCTAGGCCAGCGATTCTCAACCAATGGTACTCGTACCACTAGTGGTACGCAAGAGAAGAATAGATGGTACGCAAAGAAATAAAGTATTTTTAACTATTAAATTCAAAAATCTCGTGAAGAAAAAGAACAAGTGATAGAAATTTCCTGTGATCGAACTCTAACTGAAGATTTAAAAAATAACTCTCTTGGTGATTTTTGCTGAACCGAAAAAGAGAATTTAAAGGTATTTCAAATAAAGCTATTAAATTTTTATTGCCCTTTTGCACAACCTAGTTGTGTGAATAAGGATTTTTTCCATGTTATATTTGAAAAATAAATACAGAATAAAATTAAAACCGTAAATTATTCATCCTAATTTACGGTTAAAACTAAGTGAAATGAGACCAGACCTAAACAAATTGATCTCTCTTAAACAAACCCAGATTTCACAGCAAATTTTAGAATTAAAGTATTATAACTTAAATTTTGAGAACTAAAAATGTAACCAATTTTTTTCTAATATTTGTATTTGTGCATATTTAATACAAATAGCTAATAGGTTGTGCGAATGGTAAAATATGTTTTTTTGACATTTCTATTTAAAAACTGGAAAATAATCATTTTAAAATGTAATGGTTGTACTAAAGGTTTTCAATTTTTGTTTAGGAGTTACGAGTTAGTAAAAAGTTTTAAAATCGCTGCTCTAGCTATTCTAAAAATTTCTGCACTGTCTGAAGAGACAACTAACACGGCGCCATCTGAGGTCTTCAGTAAGAACTAACATGTGTTTTGTAACCGGTTATTTTTTCGAAAATGAGCTTTCAGAAAATCACCATCAACTTTGTTTTGATTTCTTCACCATTTCAAAACACTAGAGAAAAACTGACAGGCAGCGCGCTTAAATTCTACTAGAAAGGTTCTGCATTAATCTGCAAAGTTCTACACTTCCTAAAGAATAAACAAACACAGCGCCATCTAACGGTTTCAGCAAGAACGGACGGGGGAAGACGCAACAACGGCAACGTGTCCGCACAATGGGTGTCGTGAGCACAACTTTCAAATACAAACGCCCTGAATATGAATTCCCTCGGGTGGATTTTTAAAATTGCTTGTAGGCAGTGACCATTCCTTGTTTTGAAGATCAAGTCTGCAAAATTTCATCGTCATCGGAGTAAAACTGTAGATTTGTATGAATTACACACAAACAAACGGACACTCTTCTTTATTTATATAGATGACTTATATTTATATAGATGAACCCAGCTAATGTAAAGTCCCGAGTCGAGCTAGTAATTAATAATAACTGAAATGAAGCTGCTTTTATTGCTTTTAAATCGATTAGCTTATTATTTCATACCAGAATAAATTTGAAAAAAAAAAAAAAAAAAAATTAAGTATCTTTATTGAAAAACAACAGACTGCCCTGTAGAAGATAAAAATATTTAAATTCGGGCAGGAGCAACATATTTCTTTTTCAAAAGAAAAAAAAATCGCTGAGTTTGTTCATTAAATTTGAAAGATAAACATATTGCGTTTTGCCATGTGGCAGCACACTTCTTTTATACTGCGGAATTTTCTAATTAAATTTGAAACATAAATTTTGTAATCGTTGCAAAGTAACGATACAAAAATTTTAAATCGCTGAGCTTTTAATCATCAACTTAATCATCTACTTTTAATCATCAATGTGATTAAGTTCTCACATTTTGATACGTATGTATATGTATGTATGTTCGTAGAATGCTGTAATGTTTTTGACTTCGAATTTCAATGATGAATTTTTCCGTTGGTGTGTCCGCATTTACGACGTCCATTCCGTTGAATGCTGAAATGTTGATCCACAATGAACAGCAAACTGGGCAGTCGAGACAGATTAAATATTCGTCTTTACTTCAATAAACATGTTGCGGCCACAAATAAATTGGCACTGTAATTCGTGCCTATTTCAAACTTTTAGATTTTGGATAATTTTGCGGTAAAAAGAGAAGCAGCAAACAGCAGTCTATCTAGGCCGAAGTGCATAAAGCAAGTAAGTTGTTGGTTGAAATCTTAATTCAGAGTGAGTTATTTTCGGTTCTCAATGCTTTTAATTGGATAATTAATAATGCTGTAAAATTATATTATTAGCTGTTTAAGTTCTATTTACATCACCAACATTATGTAAGAGTCGTATAACATTAATTAGTCTCGAAATGACGCAGGGGAGGAAAACATTACTAATTTTAGAATAAAAAGAAGGGAAATAAACAAATTAAAATTAAGGGTACTTTTCCGTTTTGCCGGCGCAAACGATAAAGTCGCCAATAATGGTTTAACTGATGCCAGACGGAATATCTTCGCTGGTAACCTTTTACGCCTCAGTTTCAAAGCAAGTTGAAGCCATTTCTTATCAGATTGTTTCTTTCAATACTGACATACAATAATATAGAATTTTTACACGATATTTAAATTTTATCCCCTAAGACAATTCACGGTAATTAAGTCAATTAGAACGCAATTACACCGCTCATCCGAAGGCGAAATCAAGTGTTAAATTCATCAATTCTAATGACTAGCGAAGTAAGGCACTGCGGTTTTACATAATTTCTGAGTAAGCTATTTGTACGAATTGAAATAATTCTTGCATTTAAACTTGTATTCCAAATTAAGATTTAACTTAAAATTAATGTAGATAATTACTGAGCGAATTAAATTTTAGTAGCGTAGTTTACGTGAGATGAGAAATCACTTGGGGTCACGTGATACGAAACCGGCGAATCAGGATTTTGAACTATGAAATCATAGTAAATTCTTAAATTAATGCCTTTTTTTTACAAATTTATTGTCTTTATTTATTGGCTTTTTACAAAATTTTAAACCATATTAAAATGTTTATGCCTATACAATAAAAAAAAATTCTTAGAATTAACATTTTTTATGTGTATACTGTATGTTGTAGCCAACAAAGTCTGCTTGACGAGATTTGCGCCGGCGAAACGGAAAAGTACCAAATTAAGCATTAAAAGGCTATTGCTTATTTAAATTATAATTAATATTTACATATTTTTTATCTTACATATATAAAGAACGTGCGTCAAATTTCATCAAGCTCGGAATAAAATTGTAGCTTTGTGTGGATTCTAAACAAGCAGATACTTTTCTTTATAGGTATAGATGTAGATTATACAAAAATTGAAACTATTCAGTCTAACGTACCTCAACGTGTAATGCAATCACTGGATCTTCCCAAGAATGGTCGATATGAATCTGCGCATGCCCGGAGCTATCCACTTGCACACTACGCCCTGTACATCGTCCTCCATCTTTGTTGCCAGAGATGACATCGCAATAGGTTCCTTCTGGCAATCCGGTTTGCAAATTTTGGTCCAGTGCATGGTTTTCGTTGTTTATGGCCAAGAAACCTTTGTTGCCCCGACTGAAGGCAATCTGGTGATAGTCATTGTCCCACCAGTTTTGAACGGTTTCGAAACCAACTACATTTCGGAATTTTACCATGTTGTAGATCTGGCGCCACCTTTAAGAAAACAACAGAAAATAAGTTACAGCGCAACAAAATAATGTATAAATGTCTATTATTCAAACATTTCTGGATGTTTTATGTAATTTTTGGAAAACTGTGTTCTAAAGTTTATTATGACATCTAAAACTTAGCTGATGAAAATGAAATCAAGAATTTAAATATATATGTATATATATATTAGTTTAACGCGGAAATGCATGTATCATTCCTGACAAATACAAAATAAGAAATGGAAATGTATTTTACTTACGATCATCCTTTTCATCATGAAATTAAGTCTAAACATGAGCCAGGAAGCAGTGCAAATTTCAGAAGAGCTGGCCGAGAATGCGGACAGCTTTCAACTGTTATTCACGTTATTTAAGAAGGGTTCGTATTATTTTCGATTTTCCAATCATGGCAAGGTTCTGGAAGGGCTATGATCAGTGGCATACTAGTGTGGGGAGTGCGAACAGCGCTGGGCCTCTGGTCAGGAGGTCCTCCGAAGGACCCTAAGTATATGTAGCTATATGGAAGAGTTTAAAAAAGGGATTTTGTAGTCTAGAGGGTGATTACGTACAAATGGGCCATATTTAAAAGTTTATGCTATGATGGTATAATTTTATAAGGATACGAGCAGTTTCCCGCTCTTTTTGTCATGATGCGTCTACCCGGATGGTAGATATGGCTTTTTTTGGCAGGGCGTGTTTTAGTTGCTTCTTGCATGAGAAGATTTTCAAAGTTGAAGTTGATTAATAGCTATCTTCGATCAACAATGAGCCAACTAAGACTTAATGGCAATTCTTTCCATTGAAAATGCTTTACGTTACTTTAAAGCATTAACATTAACTTTAAAGAAGCTGAAAATTCTTTTTCAGAAGTTCGCAGCAAACAGCTTTAGCATTTTTATTCACAAAAAAGTTAAAAACAAAAAATGGCAGATCAATAATTTTTTTAAATATATAAAGCATTTTTGTTAATTAAGTAATTATTATGATTTAAACTTTTACTATAAACGTTTCCTTACAATATTGTTAACTAACACTGCTTTCTGTAGTGTATTCTGGTGAAGACCAGAATGCAAATTGCTGATACTTAAGTTGAGATGCCATTGCTCCTCTACCTGTAGTGTTTTATTCCCTTGAGGGTACCGAGAGGAAGCTAAATATCATCCGTAGGTCTACATGAAATAACATTATCACCTACACGAACTTCTCGGCCTCTTTGTATCTCGAAGTAGGCAACACATCATAGAAGTAGGACTTCCATCCAAATCCTTCCATCATGAAGCCACTCTGTATTGAATCCATTATCACTGAAGTCCTCAGTTTCTTTGCCATCAGACAGGAATTTCTCTCTAGATATTAATGCACTGAAAATCAAAGTGAGTTGGCTTACAAAAGAGATCTGGAATACATGTTCCTCTCCAGATGATGAAACATACAACATGTATTCATGCACCAACATTCAGTATTATTTAAGTCATATCGAGTGACTACAGTCATATGTGTTTGATATCCTACAACAGGTTCTCGAATTCCACTTAAGTTCTTTTGCAAGAAATACTAGTAGAAATTTAGAGGCTAAATACATTATATCTTCCTTGGAAAAGAACATATGTCGAATTTCAGTTTTCTGGCTAACATGAGTTTTTAAAAAGTGAACTCAGCATTTTTCATCAGTTTCAATTACATTAATACTTGCTGGGAAACACGCATTTATTTCTTTCGATCCTTATAGCTTTAAATGCCTCATGCCTCGTGTTACGTAGTTCTGATGTATAAAAACCAAAACTATGGCAGTGAAAAAATCTGATGTGGATACATCACACGCGCATAATTTAACGACCTATTAAATTATGCGCATACTTTGATACACTTCATTTAAACTTCTCCAATCTCCTGGAATGGTTCTAACTTAATTAAACGATTCCTCAAGGCAAATCGAAAATGACTTCAAAAATTACAAATTTTGAAATTAAATATTCCGGTCAAAGTCGTACGGTAGTCAAACTTCTTATAGCTTTATTTTTTCATAACGAATATAAAACGTTCCCAGATATCGCTACAGGAACCGGAGCATCCGACGGGACGGATCCGAGCGTCTCCTACCCCTCTTCCCCCCAGGTTTGCCGCATATGTAGAGTGCCCTCATGCCGCACAGACACTATACATTTACAAACATCCATGCCATCCCCGGGATTTGAACCCGGTCCCTTCGGCACAGCAGTCAGCGACGCTAACCACTATACCGGTTGGGCGGCCATTTTATTAAATGCAATAACCGAACATATGTAGTTTTAGAGCCAACCTGAAGTGAAAAGCACGAAGAAAAGTATAACAGAATTCGAAAAGCACTGGTTAATTAACTTTAAACTTGTAATATTTCTCCTCCCAAAATACAATTAACAAAAATATGCTTCATTAAAAAAAAAAAAAAAAAAAAAAAAAAAAAAAAAAAAAAAAAAAAACTCATTCATTAAATTTTATCAGATGATTAATTTCCAGTGTGAATTTATTTTACATGTAATATTAATTAACTAAATTTAACTTTGCTGTGCTGGCTAGATCTTAACTTTAATTGTGAAGCGACTGCTCGCTAAGTTAAGACAAGGTGTAAGAAGAGTGAAAAGGCCCTTCCATTCAATTCAAGACAGAATTTACAGGCGGCACTTCAGGTGCTTACAAACATAGCCAATACTTTTGATTGCAACTCAGAAATGAAATATAAAATTAAACCTAAGTTAAACAACCAGCCAAAGCTGCACAGAGATAACTAACGCGATTTGGCTCCTAGTCCTACCACCGACGTACACGAAACGGTAATTAATATGCACGGCCGTAAAATAGAAAGCTTAAATATCAGCGAAACAATGTGGCCGAACGGCAGAACACGCTCTGTTTGAAGTAACTCAGACACTGGCTTAAATAGTATTTTTCTAACCTATTTTGCATAACAAGCGAAACTGAAATATCATTCTGGCAGGAAATGGAAATAAAGGAAAATAGAGAAGATAAGTAACTGAACAAAAACTAGTTAGCTTAAAACTATAAAACTAGTTTCTTTACATACACATATAATGTCCCTTTTTTCTTGGTCAATATTGAATGTAGAGGAACCTAATGAACTGAGAAGCGACTTATCGCTGAGTTCACGTGTATAACAACAACATCCAGAGAAGAGTTAAAATACCCTTCTGTTCACTCAAAGAATTATTCACAGACGGCTCCTTCTCGGGCGTACAGGGAAGCCTCCACTCGGGCTTCAACTCAAGATAAGAAAAATGAGAAACTAATTTAATACAAATTAAATTGATATAGCCGAAGCCCTTAATTTAACTTAGGCGGCGATTATCAACAGGCAAGTGCAATACGGCCGAGCGTAGTAGATTTACTAACGAAACAGCCTGACGGCAAACTAGTGCCACTAAGGACTCGTAAGCTCTTTCTTTCAAAGTAAGCTGAACCTTCCTTAAATACTCCTTCTAACTCATTCGCATAAAACGCGATACTAAAAATTCATTCTGGTAGGGAATAGTAGATGATAAACGAGAACAGACAGTAAATCATGCTACTATTAGAAAAATAAAGTAACCTCTACATACATATACAAAAATAAGGTACATTGTTTCATCTGACTACAGATCTTTCATCTCCTCGCTTGATATTTTATATCCCCATTAGAACACTCGTTTACTACATCTATGATTTTCTTACTCTTTCATGTCCTCACTTGATGTTTTATATCTCCATCAGAACACTCGTTGCAACATCTATAATTTTGTCTACTAAAAACATTGAACTACTATTTAAATTTTTCAATCAAAACAAAAATCAAGTGGAAAATCCCATATTCTTTCAATTATTCCATCTAAAGCTATCTATATGGAAAACATTTCTGCGTTGCTGATGGAATGATAATGATTGAGAGAAAAATAAGATATCATGCAATGAAACGCATATAAGCTGGCAACACATCAAAGCACTTATATCTGTTTAAACGTTCAAATCAAATTTGTTTTTCTTATTATCGAAGACAGAAATCTTAACAAAGAAAGATCTACTTATAAGATCAAACAGCGAAGATTATGTTTATGAAATGCGTAATGAACTTTGTATCTTGGAATAAATCAACTAGTAAAAACTTTTTGTAAGGCAAGTTATCTGTTTTTATCTCTTAGGCCAGCGATTCTCAACCGGTGGTACGCAAGAAAAAGAAACAAAATATTTTAATAATTAAATTCATAAATTAAATATCCCAACACCATTTAAGTTTAAACCATTTAAATTTTTAACCATCTAAGTTTTTTTAAAACCAACCATTTAACCTAAACTTTCTAAACCAACGATTTACGTTTTTTCTCAAACGCTCGTAAATTTATGCGATCTGAGCTTCTTTAAGGTAATAGCCGCTCATAGACCTTTAACAAAATAATCCGTTTTTATTTTCACAAATATTCATTTCGTCCATGACATAATAAAATTTGTCATAAACGATATTTTGAATTTAACAAATGTTTTCTATTCGGATAAAGCTAATATTAAATTAAATTTTAATTAAAAAATTTTAATTGCAAAAAGTATATATAAATAAAATATTTAAAATACTAATTTAAATTCTGACTAATTTTTTTTTTTCGTTCAAGGTTTTAAATTCAATTTGTGTTCCTTGGACATGGTATATGGAAAGTTTTCTTATTCTAAATAATCATGAATTATTAATTACATTAATATATATAATGAAGCAATTTTGTGTGTGATTATGTTGAAGTTTACCAAAAGGAATTTAAGTAAAGGAATTTTAATAACGAATTTACTTTTGAATATCATACCCGAAAATTTGTGCGATTACTTTTTGTGAAAAGGCCCATTAGCGGTTGAGTGGTAAAATCGCTGAACACTGGTAGTTCTGTCCAACTTTCAAATAAAGGCCAACGAAAGCGGGCTTCAGCCCGCTCAGCTGACGGGCTTGCCCGCTAGTGACATAATAAAAGTTGTCATAAACGATATTTTAAAAAAGAGTATTAGAATCGGATTTTGTATGTAATAGGAAATGAAAATAAGTTCCTATAAAAAGATAATAGTATGTCATTAATTCTTTTAGAGTTGATCTCATGTCGCCACCACCATTTCCGGGCTCATATTGCTCTTTTTTTTTTAATTAGAATAATTTTTCGATCTCGATTTGTTCTCTCTTAACAGCAGATATTTTGTCTTCTTGTTGCTTTATATTCCTCACTTTTTGAACGCGATTTGCCGATATCGTCGTTTGTTTTTGAAGAACTCATAATATACTGTGTATTTAAATATTTGTGAAAGCATAATAAAACAAACCTAAATTTTCAAAATGGAAAAATGGCCAGGATTGAATAAGTGGAAAAGGGATGATTCACAGCTGATGGATCCAGGACAATCTACTAGCACTAAGCATACTGAAAAAAAAAAAAAAAAAAAAATGTTTACAAAAAATATAATATTTATCATTTGGGTTTACTTGGAATGGAGAATAAACGGATCTTCAACCTCAACGTATTGTTTGCTGTGTAAAATCAAAGTATGAAACCATCGTTTCTTAAACGGTATCTTGAATCTAAGCATGGCAGTTTAATGGATAAATCTGAAGAACATTTTAAGAAGAAATTATCGGAGTTCAAGAATAGGGAACAAGTAATGAAAGGTTTTGTTACTTCAAGTGAAAAATCTTTGGAATCTATTTACCTAGTAAGCCTAAGAATTGCCAAAAGTGAGCAGGCTTAAACTATTGAAGAAAACCTTATATTACCAGTAGCTAAAAATATCTTTTTAACATTATTCAACAAAAAAGCGTTTAAGGCACTTGATAATATTCCGTTATCAAATGATACGGTAAGTCGATGAATTCATGAAATGGCAAATTCCATAAAAGAGAGAATTATTCAAAAAATAAGACATAGAGAGTATTTCGCATTGCATTTGGATGAAAGTTACTGGTATAACGAACTCTGTTTTGTTTGTTTGTTATTAGTTTATATACGTTTCGAAGAAGATAAACGAATTGCCGAATAGTATTTATTTTGTGAATTTGTTCATGATAGAGCAACTGCAAATTTAATTTTCAAAGTAAATGATAATTTTATGCCTGCGATTGCCGTATGCAGTGACGGAGCTCGGGTTTAACAGAAAAACATTCCAATGTTATTTCTCAAATAAAGAAAGTCGCACCTGAGACTAAATTTACTCACTGCTCCATACATCGTGAAGCTTTTAGTAGCCAAAACTTCCCGAAAAAACCTGAAAATCGCTTTGAATCAAGAAGTGAAAATTGTCAATTTTCGCAGTTTATTAACAGCCGAACTTTAAATTAAACAATATTTACAATTTTATGCTAAGTGATACGCAGTGAATATAAAACGCTTTTGTTACATTCCGAAGTAAGATGGTTATCCAAAGTTTTAAATATTCTTTTTGAACTTCGATCAGAAATTCAAATTTTTCTCTCTAATTCAAAATTCGAATTGCCAAATTGATTATTTAGTGAATTATGGTTGGCTCGTTTAGCATAGTTGGATGATATTTTTGGAAAGTTAAATGACTTAAATTTAGGATTACAAAGACAAAGTGTTAGTTTGTTTACCATTAGAAATAAAATTAATGCAATGATATAAAAAAGTCGAACTAATACTCAAAGAATTGGATAATAATATTTTAAGCTTACCACTTTTAGAAAGTTTTCCAATCGAAAATAATTTCAAAATAAAAGAATTAGCATCCGACATTTTAAACCATTGTTTTTCTTTTGATAAATAATTTCAACATGTATTTTCCCGATGGTTATGAAAAAGAAAATTGGATTTGAAATCTAATTTATTCAAATGTACCAGAAATTTTATCTCATGAAGAAAAAGAATAATTGATAGAAATTTCCTGCAATCGAGCTTTAACTGAAGATTTGAAAAATAACACACTAGTTAACTTAGCTGAACCGAAAAAAAGAATTTAAAGACATTTCAAATAAAGCTATCAAATTTTTATTGCCTTTTTGCACAACCTACTTGTGTGAACAAGAATTTTCTTCCATTTTATATTTGGAAAATAAGTACAGGACAAAATTTAAATTGGGTCCTAATTTACGGTGAAAACTAAGGGAAAAAAGAAACTGACTGAAACTAAGTGAAAAAAAAAAAAAAAAAAAAAAAACTAAGTGAAAATCTAAGTGAAACTGAGTGAAAAAGAACGAAGTGAAAACTAAGTGAAAAAAGAAACTAAAAACTAAGTGAAAAAAGAAACTAAAAACTAAGTGACACAAAGAAACTGATCTATCTTAAACAGGCCGAGGTTTCACACTAAATTTTAGAATTAAAGTATTATAACTTAAATTTTGATAATTAAAATGGTAACCAATTTTTAATCTAACATTTCTTATTTGTGCATATTTAATACAAATAGCCAATAGGTTGCGCAAATGGCAAGATATATATATATAATATTTCTATTAAGAAATTGTAAAATGTAGTGGTGGTACTAATGTTTTTCAAGCATTTATTGTATTTTAAACAAATTTAGCAGAATTTGGAACATCATACACCCGTTTGTTGATTTACAACTATCTGCATATGGTAGATGGGTACAAAGAGTGTCAATGCAATTAACTGCGTGTAAGAAAACCTAAGAGACGAGTTCTATTTTGCAAATTTCAACATTTTCACATTCCTGAAACAATAAAGTACACTTTACACAGAAAACAAATATATTTCTATATGATCTCTTCTATTAGGCCGATTGATAACACTTAACTTGCGTTTATCATGTCTCGAAAGTGCAAATTAGGATATATTTTAGATTTATATGTAGCATTGTTCTAACACAGATATTTCTACAAAAACCCGGGCTTTTTCTGAAATGAGATACCGATTCTATATTTGGATTGCACGAATCAAGTTATGGAAAACTACCAAAGATTTGTAAAAATCGCATGAGTAGTTTTTAAAAATTTTAGCTCCTAGTGTTAATTAAATTTGGTATATATTTATTAATATTTCTTTTTTCTTATTAAAGTTACACAGTTTCTTTTACACTTCGAAATTTACGTTCGATCCAAATAAAATTCACAGATATTTCTGATTGATTTTTTTAAATTTGTATTTTTTAGCAATTTTTATAAATTTTTCGAAAATGTGTTTTAATCATTATCTATAAACTTTTCACCATTACCTTGAAGTAGATGTATTTATAAGCATACCTGCAAAAAATTAGGTTTTTTTTATCCAAAATTTCCAGAGACATGTGAATTCATGTACTGGCTGGTTTTGAAATTTGTCATATTTGTTATAAGCGATAATAACGCCAAATGTGGTTTGCGTACTTTATATAATTATTTGAAAGAATAAACTATGTACGTTCTTCCCCCCCCCCGATCGTGCACATTGGTTGGGCAAATGGAAAAAGAAGATAAATTGCCACAACTTAATTTCGCCAAGTGAATTATTCTTGGTGCAAACTGAAAAAAATGGTTGGTCAAGATAAATTTTTTAATTTCTCTGTAAGTTTCGAACCAAATGTACAAAATTTAATATTTAGGCATAATTTGAGTCGTAGAATGGAAAAGTTGGTGCGTCGTATCAGAAAAAGTCCGATTTCCTGTCAAAATATTTATGTTAGAACAATACTATACATGAATATAATATATATCCTAAGTCGCGCATTCGAGATATAAAGAATACAAATTAAATATCGTCAATCGGCCGAGTAAAACGGGAAATGTAGAACTGTCCTTGTTTTTTTTTTTTTCTTTCTTTTTTTTTTTTCTTTGTGTGTGTGTGTGTAAGGTATACATATTAAAAGAAAGAACGCACATACCTGTGTTCGCATACCCATCCACCTCCACAAGTAAGATCCGAATTTCTTACGACACTCGTAATGTTATAATTGCTGTCAGCCGGTGGACCAATCCAGTCATTGGTATCCTTTCCATTCACGACGTTCTCTGTCCAGCTGTAGCTGCTCATTACCCTTGGAAGTCCGTAAGGCCAGGCCAACATAAAAGCCACGGCTATTTTATACATCCGTGACAGTTTGTGAGTGAGAATGCTCCCATAGCCTCCAGCTCCATGGCCCCTTTGATTGTCATGATTATCGACGAAAGTCAAAGCATTCGATCCCGACACAAATGACCAGTCTTCACCAAAATTACGCAGGTATTTTAATCGCTGGTCGAAATTCTTCCGAATGACATCACCTGGAAGAAGAATATTAAGAAAACATCAATTCGATGTTATGCACTTCCTTATAAGCAATTAATTATCTACGTGTGCATTCAATTCCCTACGTTCACATGGCGCTGTGCCTATTGAAATGACTGAAATAAATGCAGCATTCAACACTTAAAAATATTCAACAGGCTATAGAATTAATAATAATATTATTAAAACATATCTGCAGCTTTATTTAACCATGATGCTGCCGCAAAACTTCTAGCAGAACTTCTGTGCATTTATCTTGCCGTCAAGTGGATCCAGGATCATGGGACAGCATCCTCAAAGTACCTTATTTTTTCTGATTCTCTTTCTTCTCTTCAACTTTTGAACAGTATTACCAGCTGCGATAAATTAGTTATCGAAACCCTAGTAACTGTTAGTTCACTTAGAATTAGAGGTATTGATATCTGCTTTGCTTATGTGCGTGCTCATCATGGTTTCTATGGAAATGAAAGAGCTGATTTCTTAGCTAAAGATGCCTTAAATTTACCCATTGATATCAACATTAGCATTCCAAAGAGTTATTGGAAGTCCTTTCATTATAAAAAGCTTTTAGCTATGTGGAATGAGGAATACATTTCATCTTGTAATGCGGAAGTCACCAAAAGTTCCTTCCTTCTATTTACCATAGACTAAATTCCGAGTCTTTCCTCTCGTTAAATTTTAAAGTGTCTCAGTTTTTATCTGGTCACGGTAAAATTTGCAAGTTATCTGTTTCGTTTTAATCTACGATCAACAATTTATGTGAATGTTCAAAAAGAGTTCCTCAGGATGTGGAACATTTGATTTTCTCGTGCCCTACATTTGATGGCCCTAGATTATGCTTACAGACGATTTGAAAATGTTCGGAGTGACTTGGCCAGTGAACTTATCTGTTTTCGTGAAGTCCAGACTGCTGTTCTCTGCTTTTGTTCGCTTTATTTATGCATGTAATTTTTAATGTTTATTTATACATGTAACCTTTAATGTTCTAGTTAACTTACTTCTGTAAGCCCCGTGTTGTACATATGTGGTGCACGGGGAGTCTGTATGTTCTCAAAGGAAAAAAAAAAAAAAAAAAAAAAAACAGACGTAGCGTCCCAGACTTCTGAATCCCATAAAATTGTTACATTACGCTCCGTATATATTCACCATAAAAATCTCGCAAAAATTTATGTTTGACAGTTTTGAAAAAGTACAGGGTGACAGAAAAAAAACGGGAACACATTTTAACAATCCAATAAAACCAAAAGTGATGAAGAAAGACATTTTATTTATAGCAATTGAAACCTTAAAACTTTCCGTTTAAGAAACATTAATGGAATTTATATATTGTTTTAAATTACGTCCTCTAGATGGCGTCCTCCTGTACGATTTTCATCCTGAATTCTCTGTTTTAACTCATCCGGAGTTCTTGATCGAGTTGTGGACACTTTACGTTTGAGATAGCCTCACAAGAAAAAAATCACAAACGGATAAATCTGGCGATTTAGGGGGCCAGGTAACGTTACCGAGTCTTGAGATCACACGGTTACCGAACGATTCTCGCACAGCTCCCATTAATTGCCGTGCAGTGTATGATGTCGCTCGATCTTGTTGAAACCAGGTTTCTTGAACGTGTGGAAAACTGTTCAATTCAGGTGTTAACGAAAGATTGTAACATCTCCACGTAATGATCTGCACTGACAGTTACTATGATCCCTGTTCGCTCTTATGTTGATCCCTCTGTTTCTTTGTGTTATCAACAAAAGCTAAATAGGTGGCAGGTGTAGCACTCAATTCTTGGAGAACCAAGAAACACATTAGAAGATCTTATTGTCTTACACATTGAGCTCAAAAACCATTGATTACCTGAGGCAAAGAACTTGAACTGGTTCTTTAATCCTATTCAAGTTCTTTCATTGAGCTACCAGGCAGTACTTTGTTCAGGGGTCATACCATGATGGACGTTTTTAAGTTTTTGCTATTCGTGAAAAGGGGAAACGGTGAATAATTCTTATGAGCTTGAGACTGTATAGATGATTTGGCATTTAGGAAATGGTAATTTTGTATCCGTATCATTTTAACTGCATCATGTAAAATTATTAATGTATAGTGCAACAAAAAAGCAGCAAAAACGAAATAAGTAACTGCGTGTAATAATAATGGCATTTAATTTTCAGTTATTATTAACTACTTTTGGGGGATGCGGTAATGTTAATCACTCTTTCATGCAATTCATAAATGAATTTTTACACTACTTTTTCAGATAATCCATCTTTTTCTTATCATATTGGATACAGCGAACCACCGGATAGAGCGAACCAAACTTTCGGTTCTTCCAAGTTCGTTATAGCGGGGTTCGGCTTCATCTTTCGTTCCTTCCCCCCTCTTTGACTGAGTTCTTTTCACTTTTCTGCATTTTCTGTTATTTGGGGAGAAAATTCTACATTTCTTTGTAATAATTTGTCATTACCTACGTACAGTTCCTTTCTAAAGTTTCCAGAATGGGTGATAATTACAAAACTTAAATAACATCGGTTTAGAATTCATAGTTATCACTGATGGGAATTAAAGAAATATAAAATTCGCAAATACACACCCAAATACTTTCCATATCTGAATTCTGTAACGCGACCAAATTCGACATATTCTTCAGATTTGATGGGTTCTCCACCCATGTCGATGACTTCCTGGTAGATGAAAGGTTTTCGTCCGGCAGGGAAGTACACTTCATTTAAGTTGTTCAATCTGTTATAGATAATAGACAGATCGTCCGGCCACATATGTTTCGCAGCGTCCACTCGGAATCCAGCGACTCCAATTTGAATCAAATTGTTCATGTATTCTGCGATTTTGTTTCTTACATACTCTTGACTCAAATCCAGATCATTCAGCCCTGAGAGTTTACAATTTCTAACCTGTAATAGGGGAAAAAAGGGGGAAAAAAGAAAAAAGAAAGAAGATAAGACTAAAAAAACAAAAAGTACATTCATTTATGGAGAAAAACGGCTGTTAAAAAATAATTTGTACACCCAATTAATTTCATTCAAGATGTTTACATATTCAAGGCCTAATAATATGGTCTAATATATTTTAGCAATATCAGATTTTTCAAAAAAATGACAAAATCTAACTTTTAATGCGGTATCCTACACTTATATACTGGAAAGTTTTATACTCGTTTTGGGAAAAAAAAAAAAAAAAAAAAAAAAAAAAACATAACGTTTGACTTCTCTACGACAAAAATTAACTGTGATATTTAATTTCAAAATTTGCAGTTTTTGATGTCATTTTTCACTTTGCTTTGATGGATCGGTTAATTAGGTTAGAATAATTCGAGTAAATAAGTTTAAATGAAGTGCACCTAAAAATGCGTTAGTCCATATAAAGAAATCAAGTGGCGTCCACATCAGATTTTTGTTACGAAATTCAGTGCGAATTTGTGTTACATTTCATTTATGAAAAAATATTATCACAGATTTGTTAATTACAGCAAGGTAAATACAAAAATGTTGACAACAGTAATTTGAATTTAACAAACATTCGCTATTCGTAAAAAGCAAATTTAAAGTTAATTAAATTTTAAATAATGAAATTGAATTACAAATAAACTAATCTACAATATCATTTAAATTCTGAGAGCATATGTAAATCAAGTGCAAGTATCAAAATCTATGAATATATAATTCCAATAATTTTTTAATCCTAAAAATTTATAAAAAGTATATAATATTAAAGTATAAAAATATTAAGTGAATAATTGTTGAGCAGGCAGGAGACAGACTTATCAAGGGGAAGTTGCCCCCAAATTTAACTCTTCAATCATTCAATTCGTGTTTCGTCATCCATGTAGGCAAGGGTAAAAGGAAAAATCAAAACCAAAAGTAAAACCAAATGTTGTGAACTACTAAAAAGAAATTTAAACAAGTTTAAACAAGTGGAATTTTGAGAAATTAGCAAGTAAAGACTAGAATTAGAATAAAAGTCAATAAATTAGAAAACCAATTTTTTTTAGAAAAACCAAAGTAATTTAGAAATTCTTGCCTACAAAAAACTTTCCCGACGAGAATTATGCATATAAAATCATAAAGAAACTAGATACATTATATAAAAAATATATAAATAATACTACTAAATAATACTAAAAAGGCAAGTAAATAGTAAGTCTTAATTTAACTTGCCAACTATATTTGTATTAGGAGAGTGGAGCAACATGCCAAACTAAGTGATGTAAAGTAGTGTGTTTGTTCCACGGAGTATAAACAATCGTGGTTTGTTCTAACTTTTATAAATAGAGGGGGCTAATATAAGGTTAAGTTGAGCAACAGTAATTTGATATTTAATTGATTTTTGCAATACAGTCCTGTTTTTAGTGGGTTCATTGTCCACTTCATTATTAACTGGTCATTGTTCACATTGTTCATTGTCCACTGTCCAATGTCAGGCTCAATCCACCGGCTTTTTAAGTTGCCGAGAGATAGTATTGGGACATTATATGTGACGGTGACCCACATCATCCTTTTCTGATCACAGTTACAGAATGAAAAGTCTCTGAGTCTAAATTTGAAGAGATAAGAAAGGTGGAATCCGTGTCCCGCCAGTCGCTGTGTGACACTAGATCGTTCTGATTGAGTTCTGTATCCACTTTGGAAAGGAAACGAAATGCTCGCCTACCTACCCACATCGAAACACTCGATAACAAGAAATTGAATTTGAGGGATGATAAAAATAAGAGCATATAAAATGCAGTTATTCAGACATGATTTTTTTTTCTTGTGGAATCCATGCGTTACTAAACTGTTATTAATCGATGCGTTACTAAACTAGTAACGCATGGATTAGCTGCTTAGCTCTCGTATGCAAATTTTGATTATGTAATATATCATTTGTACATATGTCGCACAAAATGCAAAGATGTCATTGATACATATTCCTTAATTTTTGTAACAATTTACTTTGGCTGATACAAAATAAGCGTCTCTGATCTGGCAGCCCAGGTGGCTGCTGGTTGTACAAGTAGATTTTACCTCCTCTGATCAGGTATTAATTCCGATTGGTTTCACCTTAGAACGGAAGCCTGGTCGGCGGCGAATGAACAAACGAACTATCGTAGTAAGATTTAAAATCTATACTATTATTCGTAATTGTTAGTATTCGCCGGTGAGATTTAATTACGGACCAACACGGTTAAGTACAGCTTCGGCTAAATTTTAGATAGTTAGAATTAGTTTACATCCTTATTTTCTGTCTTAAACCCAATTGGAGGCTTCCCTGTAAACCCAAGAGGGGCCAACTGTGAAATATCTCTGAGTTAAATAAAAGAATATTTTAACCCTTCTTTGGAAATTGTTCTTGTAGTTTTCAGAAGACCAGCGAATAGTCGGCACGCTCTTCTCGAGTTCCTATTTGCTAAGGACAATCATTTTAACTAGAATCTTATAAATCATTTACTCGAAGCGTCTGAATGAAATTTTTACATTTATTTAAGACTCGAAGAATTTTTGTACGTTATTTTCTTCCAATAACAAGCATTATCATCACTTACCTGAACTTTGTCGTTGTAGTTTTCGATGTCTCCAGATCCTGTAGGGCATTTATTCCTGGAATTGAAATGTTCTGGACCGTAAGGAACTCCATCATACTTAGGTACTCCTGGGTCGAAGTAGCTGCCTGCAGTACCGTGGCCTGCACCAATATTTCCAGTCATATGATTGATTACTGTATCAACGTAAATTCTGAAATAAATGTAAAACTGCATCTAGCTCTACAGTGGGTAATTGCGTAAATAAAGCTTTCGATTGGTATTATTAAACAACACAGATTTTTGTAAAATAATTGAGCTTTTACGTAAGAAATTCCAATATATAACCAAATTATCAGTTCTATGAGCATAGCTCGTTTTACTTGAGCTCTCAGACTTTTCTATAAATCGAAAGTTTATATTAAACCTTCTTCGTAGCTGTCACTGTTTTGCACAGACCAACATATTCTTGCTCCGTGCCTAAAATTTTGCAAGTAGTAGCTTTGTTTTTCACATAGACATAATTTTCAGCTCAAAAGGGCAACTTGCCCAGAAGGGCTATTCATTTCGTTTTGGCATTTTGCGACGGTTCGCTATAAACGGCGTTTCGCTTTTCAAATTGTTGCCACATAATATTAGATCCCAGCATTATATTTAAAGAAATTAAATACACGAAGAATCTGCATGAATGCATGTATGTTCTTCGCACTGTGAAAAAACAACGGTACCTAGAGACATTCAATTTTGAATAACGTAGTCCTTCACTCGAATATGGGCACCTGGAGGACCAAATTTGGAATTTGTTTTATTATCTGTTTCAAATTTTGTAAAACTTTAACGAATTTTGGATTAACAAACTCATCGATTTTGAAGCGATCCATGCCAACAGCGTACGAGATAAAAAAAAATTATCTCCAGCGCTCGAGACTGTGTATCGGAAATTCTGAAGATATGCTCTTTTTAAATTTATTTGCGCTATGCCTGTTGAATTGAATTTTATGGTTTAAGTGCGAAGAACATGATATTTAATAAATAAAGGTAACACACAAAACGTTAAAAAAACGCCCGTTTGGGCGTAATATAAAATCTGAAAGTTTTCAATTTTTTTTTTTTTTAATTAAAGGCGTTTGCTTACGTAGCGTAGTCCTCCGCTCGAATATGGGCGCCTAGAAGCACGAATTTGGAATCTGTTTCATTATCTATTTTGTATTTTGTAAAACTTTAACGGATATTTGATTAGCGAACTCAACGATTTCAAAGCGAGCAGAGGCAGCACTGTACCGGAAAAAAAAAAAAAAAAAAAAAAAAAAAAAATTATATCCGGCACTTGAGACTGTGTATCAAAAATTCTAAATATACATTCTTTTTAAACTATTGTGTGATATTGCTGTTAAATCGGATTTTATGGTTTAAATGCGAAAAGCATGATATTTAGCAAATAAAGGTAACGCACAAAACATTAAAGAAACACCCCTTCAGGCGTAATATAAAACTTGAAGACCTTTTATATATTTTTTTAATTCTTATTGTTGCAAGGAAACAACAGCGGAAGATCAGTACGGAACCCCACAACGCCAACGTACAGTGATCTAATTCCTCTACAAATCTGGGTACAACTTTTAACGTCATCGATTCACAGTAAGTTGTTGCCAGTGTATGAGGACAACGCGATGAATCGAAGGAATGTGTACTGATATTAAAAATTATCTTCACTTCTACGAAATTACGAATTTCTCAGAAACTGTGATCTATAATTTTTATGAATTTCTGTAGGATGATACATAACATCATTACACATACTACAAAGCAAAAAATGTGATATGAATCTGTGCACTGCATGTGATATAAATCTGTAGCCAGAAAAATAAAAAGATAATAATATGTTAAAAGAAGAGTTACGGGGAAAAAAAAGAATTTGGAACAAAAGTAAGGCTTATGAATTAAATATGGAATGCGGTCCTATCTGACTTGTACACAAATATCATAACGTCTTTTTATGCTGCCAATGACGCTGTGGGTAAATTGAGTTTCCCTCCTCGAGCAATGCGGTCTTCAGGGCATTTACATGTCTAGGAGAAGGATATCTCTGTACAACTTCTTTTTCAAGGTAGTCCGATAAGTTCTCTGTTGGGTCAAAATCAGGATATTTTGCTGGCTATCCTATTCGCTTTATATCTTCACTTTCAAGGAATTCCTAAACAAGGTTTACTCGATGTGCATTGTCTTCCAGAAATAGAAAGTTACATTCATAGGCACCTCTGAAAAGTCTTACATAAGGTTCTAATACCTCATCACGATACCTTAGCCGGTCATAGATACACTATTGAAAACGTGTAGGGTGTGCGGCTATCTATCATTATTTCTCCCCATACCATGACACCTTCATTACCGAAACGGTCACTTTCCATAATTTTAGAAGCATTACTGTTTCCTTCCAGATGTAAACACGTTTAGAATCAGATGTTAAATTAAGCTTCCACTGATCAGTAAAAAGAGCATGGGATCTTTGGTGTCCATTCCAACTCTGATCTGCTTTGCACTAATTAAAGCGATCCCTCTTTTGTGCGGCCGAGCGGTAAAGTAGCTGAACACTGGTAGTTCGGTGCGAGGTTCGAATCCCGCGAACGGGTTGGTTGCATGGGTGTTTTCGTGGTTTTTCCCATGTGTAACGTGTATACAAGCCAGTTTCCCGTAGAAAATCCTCCACGAAGGCATCCATTCCCTTAGGCAGATAGCCCTAGTGTGCTTTGCCATAATTAAATACACACCACACCCTCTTTTGTGACAAAAACGGTGAAACGCATATACTTGCGTTCTTAATGAGAAAGGGGCATTTTAGTTAGGTGAACCATCTGCGAGCTAATTGCCCAGCAATATATTGCTGCTATGATGCAGATTTCGTGCTATGATGAGCAGTTATTCCCAGATATTGATTTTAAGAAGCATTTGTTATTCGTCAACGATCTTGTTCAGGCTTTCTTTACAACAGGTCCAGAGTTCTGAAATTGCTACTTCCACAGTGCAGAGATTACATTGAAATATTCGATCGATATTTGAGGATGATTGTATTATCAGTCATTCTTTTCGGCACGAATGGCCACCATTTTGTCCAGATCTTACACACTGTGACTTTAGTTTGTGATTCTACTTGAAATCACAGGTGTAGAGATATCGGCAGACATTATTGGTCATACTGAAAGAAATTATTCATCATCATGCGACAGGATGTACAGCTGAATCCTTTTCAATGCTGTGAAGAGTGTCATGCCACATCTGATGACCATTCTGATAAATGACGGCAGGTAAGTTGAACCTTTCTGATACAACAGAAGCACCCCGAACGATGAAAGTTATAACTATTATGGCAAAAAAAAAAAAAAAAAAAAAAAAAAAAAAACTTTCATCGTTGAAAAATAATCCGATAACTTTATGTGCATTTATGTGAAAGCCGCATTTAAACTTTTCCAGTTTCGTTTTATAAGGTATACACATATATATGTGTATAAGATAAAAAATATGAAAGCAAACTTCTAATTTTAATTGCTATAACCTCTTTTATTTTTTACTTATTTTTGGGACTTCCTCTCACAGTCTTCTCCGTCATTCAAATTAATCATGCGTAGAGCATACTACAGATACCTCTTGCCCAATCAAAATAATTGTAAATCAAAACTTTTTGACTCCCTCCCTTCTTCCTCTGCATTACTACTGCGACACTTTCAACCTGGCAAGATGCTGCTGCAACCATTTATGTGCTGCTATGGAGAGCTTCTATCGCCAAAGTATCAAAATTGTAAATGATCACACCACATATGTGAATTTAAATAAAAAATGGAATTAAAACCGCTTCGACTGCCAAGTTCTTAGCCTTTACGAATTCTACGTTTTAAGTATCAAGTATCTTCGCAATCAGCATTTCTACGCACCTTCATATCAGTGCTTCCAAAATTGTGCTTTTATTACATTTTTAGTCGCGCAGGATTGGATTACGTGCTATTAACTTCAGTGGAACATTTATTCCTCAGCTGGATTTCTGTAAAATAGTATCATCATTCTGAAAGTTGGTTATCATCGAGTATTCAAATATGGTGTGCTTTCATTACATATGTATATATTGCAGCAATAATAATTATTTTTATTTCTTTTATATTAAAATTTCTTCCTTTGCAATTAAAATTTCTTAATTAAATTTTAAATTTTAATTTTATATTTGCTTTATACGAATAGAGAATATTTGTTAAATATATATATATATATATATGCACACACTGCTTTGAACAAGGAATAAATACATTCTGCTATCTAAATGCCTTTCTTGTCGATGTATTACTTTTCTTTTATTGATAAATGATTTGGAGGTCACTTTTTTATGATTATATTAAACGATATTTTTCTCCATGATCTTAATTCAGCTTTCGATCGATGTATCGATAAAAGGCGCAACAATGTAGGCTTTGTCTTTTACGTTATCATGATATGTGTTAGATGAGGATATAAACTTTCATGGCACAACAGTAACCATCAGAATCTGCAGCTGCCATCCTATTAATATGAATATGAAACTGTCAGTCGCATTTATTTTGAAAGTTAAAGAAAGAAAATAAATCTGTCACTAGCTGAATTTTGAACATCATAACAAAGACACCTGTTCATCAAATGAGCAGCATCAGAATCTCTGATCAAGGTCGATAATACTCAGCGAAAGTTACAATCTACAACCACAAATGTACAAGAAGTTGTTCAATTCTGCTCACCTGAATATTTGCTCTTGATGTAAAATATTTCAAAATCGAGTCAATTTGTTGGAATCACCACCGATTTCTTGTAACTATTATACACCAGATATTCAATAATTTCATGTATAACTAGCATAAGAGTTTAACACTTTATTTCTAAATATTAAAATTCTTCACATTAATTTGTCCCTTATGAGACTTTTAGTAAAAAATAGTCTTTATGAGCAGTAGCCCGCTCCTCCCTAATTGCTTAGTAAGCAATTAGTGGGGGGGGGGGCTCTTATAAGGCTTTCTCTTGGCAGTCGGTCTTTATCCCGCAATACTGATAAGGACTCAAAAGCCCCTCACAATTCTTTCTGAGGAATCGCCCTTCTCCCTCCTGATGTTTATTACAACTGCATTTTTCTAATCTCTTTATAAAAATACAAATAACTCTACATCGCTAAACTCTCATGAAATTTACGGTTTTTCTCGATTGCACTGTATGATTTCAACTCCGCTAAACTCTCATGAAATTTACGATTTTTCTCGATTGCACTGTATGATTTCAACTTTACTGTACACCTGTCAGGGTTGGAATCCCGGCGAACTGGCTGACTACATGGGCTTTTTTGTGGTTTCTCCCTGTGTATTGTGTATACGAGCCAGTTTCTCTTGATGTCCTCCAAGAAAGCCTCCTTCCCTTTAAGCAGATAAGCCCTCCAGGGTTTTGCCTTAATCAAATAAATCAAACTAAACTGCATACCTGTCCACACAAATCCGTATACTTGACCTTTATTTTCACAAACGTTGCTTTAGAAATATACTTCCAATCATAAAAATGTTTTAATTGACACAAATATAAATAATATAAAATTTATTATATATTTTATATAATATATACATTATATATTATATAAAAATTTTACTTTATATAATATATAATGTGTATAATATAATACACGTTATATATTATATAATGTTTTAATTGACACACTGGTATTTTTTAAATTTAATATAAATAATATTAAATTTAAAAAATACCAAAAACAATATAATAAATTATTTTATTATATTTTTGTTATTTTTTTTTTTACAAATTTTTGGTATTTTTTAAATTAAAAAGCCTATTTTTTCTAAATTACGAAATTAAACATTTAAATACGTTCCCTCGTCGCTATATTCATATTTAGGAAAATGATCTACTCATTATAAAAAATAAAATACCGAAACTATAAGTGCTGTATAACAAAAATTGACCGAAATATTTAATTTTAAAATTTTAAATCATATTAAAAAATTGTATACACAAATTGAAAAACGAAGGGTTTTCATGTGTACGTAACTAAAAATAAAATATCATAAAAAAGGGGTGTTTCAGATGTTCATAGATTAAGTGAAGAACATTTCTGCATAGAAATGATTGAATGCAATATAAAGTACTCAAAATGAAATGAAAAGATTGTTGTGAAAAGTAGTGATCAATAAATATGTAAAGATTTTATTTTGTACTATTGAATTATTTTTTATTTTAAGAAACTTTCTTTTCCCTTCTGATTTCAATTTCATGCCAGAATGTAAATTTAAATGGCGCATATGCATATCTAAATGAGTTCGGAAATATTATTCAAGTAACAAAATTGAAGAGTAAGCGGTAGAAGAGTTAGGTACGAGTTTACGCTGCGTGTTTGCAAGTAGCTCTGTTGCTGAATATTTTGTGCTAGCCATTTACTTAAATTTATATTGATATTCTAGACACGGCTTTGCTGTGTGCAGCCGATAAAGTGGATTTAAACTGAAGTAGGAGCTAGTCTTGTAGTTAAAATTTAATTCATTTTAGCTGTACATTGTATTTTGTGTTAAGTTACTTAGCCACAAGTGGTCACCTTGACATATCTCGTTCATTTGCACTTTGGCAGCTGAGGAAGATCGTTATGTAGTTAAGCTAACGAAATTAGTCCTGCAAAATTTACAACTATAACGCTGATTCTTGTTGTTTGACCTCTCCAATAATCATTATTCGGAGTGTTATTTTAACCTAAATCACAAGTTGTGGTTAAATTGTGAGAACCGAGTGAGTGCGTGTTCTCTTCAGTTTAGTTAAAATAAAAAAGGTTGTTATAACCTTCATCGGCAGTCATCTTTTTTTTAAGCGAGAATTCGTTATTTCTTCTTCAGTAGGATCTACACTTTATGCTTTCAAAAAGAATGAGACTCGAAGACTGAGTGGCGCCCGAACTAAAAAATGGTGGATGATGATCCTTCAACACCAGAATTTGCAGAATGGGTCCTCTAATAACCAGCCGCCCTGCAAAAGTGGTATGTTCTTCCTCCTTTCTGCATACCTTCGTGATGTAATCGGCGCAAGTTCGAGAGGTCCAGCTTCGACCTGCGAGCGCAATGCACATTTTTCTTGTCCCCTGCTTTAAAAGATACCTAATATCTCTACAAATATATTTTCCAAATGAGAGATTTTTCTCATAAAATTTTATAAAATCCATGTTCTAAAAACACTGGCAGGCTTCGATATTGGTATACAGTCAAATCGAAAGATTATTGGCATAAACTAAAATTATTTCCAAGTTAATGACTTTTTCTGTATGATATTACACTGATTCTACTAAAGTACCAAAACTGAATGAAATTAATAATAACTTATATTTAGTACTTATAAATTACTTGAGTAAAAACTCTTTCGGCACACCAGTTGCAGCAAAACCATAAATTATGTTCCACACTAGTAATTCACATAAGAATATCAACGGATGTCATTTAAAGAGAGAAAAAAAGAACCTCGAATAATTCTAAGTAACCATCAACCGACCCGTGAAGATACGTTGAAACTAACTTCAAATTCCAAAATTTTTAAATCCAATATCTCGGTTAATTTTTGTCCTACCGGAGTCAATTTTTTTAATTTTATTTTTTTTATAATGAGTATAAAATTTTTTAGTTATCAGTATACAGCATTATGTTTAAAAAAGTAGATAACAAACTCGTTCAATTAATTTGTAATCTTACCTGACATTGGCATTGTTGCAACGTCTGACCATATCTCTGAACTCCAGCTCACTTCCACTTCTAGTAAAAAGCTTATAGCTTACAGGCTGGTATCTCTCAAACCATGGCCGCTTGATCGCCTTGTTCCACGAAGGCTCCCACACGATACCATTTTCATTCGGCGGCGAAACCTAAAAATCCGTCAAGGACGTTTTTCTGTGTAACAAATTCACTAAAATAGCCATACAGGTATTATGTTAAAATTTTAACAACAACTAATGCATGCACTGAATGACGGAAACATAAGAAGTATTTTCTTTATAGCCTCTCAATTCTTATCAAGAAAATATCACTAAGGTTTTTAACTCTTAATAAAACGTTAGAGTAGAGATTCATTCTCAACCGGGGCCCACCAGCCCCGGTTGAGGCGAACGGGCTGCCTGCATGGGTGTTTTCGTGGTTTTCCCCATGTGTAACATGTATACGAGCCAGGTTCCCTTAAAAAGTCCTCCACGAAGGCATCCCTCCCTTAAGGCAGATAGCCCTCGAGTGCTTTGTCGTAATCTAATAAACCAAACCAACCATTCTCAACCGGTGGTACCCGTACCACTGGTGGTAGGCAAGAGAAAAATAGGTGGTACGCAAAATATTTTTAACTGCTCAATTCAAAAATCTCGTGAAGAGAAAGAACAATTGATAGACATTTCATATGATCGAAATCTAACTGAAGATTTTAAAAATAGCACACCTGTTAACTTTTGGCTGAACCGAAAAAAATAATTTAAAGGCATTTCAAATAAAGCTATTAAATTTTTATCGCCTTTTTGCATAATCTATTTGTGTGAACAAGGATTTTCTTCCATGTTATATTTGAAAAATAAATACAGAACAAAATTAAAAGTGGATCCTAATTTGCGGTTAAAACTAAGTAATATAAGATCAGACAGACATAAAGAAATTGATCTCTTTTAAACAGGCCCAAATTTCACACTAAATTTTAGAACTTAAATTTTGATAGTAAAAATGGTAATCAATTTTTAATCTAATATTTTATGTGTTCAAATTTAATATATATAACCAATGAGTTGTACAAATGGCAAAATATTCTTTTTAATATTTCTATTGAGAAATTAAATTAATCATTGCAAAATGCATTGGTGGTACTAAAGTTTCTCAATTTTTGTTTAGACGGTACGTGTCAGTCAAAAGGTTGAGAAACGCTGCGTTAGAGGATTGGCAATTAGTTACTGTTAATCACATATGCTCATCTGAGGAGGCCCGATTTATAATAATACAACATTTTTAGCCCACGTCTTTCTTCGAAATAGGGATTTCTTCCCAATCTTTTGTAGCACATTTGTGACCGCAGAATGCGCAAACTTGGAAAATGCCAATTTTCTTTCGCCAGTAACAACATCTAATGATCAAGACAACCCGTGAGCATATAAGCATTCTGTAGCGCGCCACGCGCATAGGGGAAAATCCGTACTTGTGATTGGACATTCTTTCCGATGACATCATTTTCTCTCAGGTAATGACGTTTAGACGGTTTTGTTTTCGATAAATGACACGGAAGCGTGAAAATTATCGTTTGTTTTCTTTGAAACGAAAAAAATTAGCTGCAGCGTTCTGAAGAAGGCTTCCTGTTTCATGGAACTATATAATTATAAAATCTTTCAAAGATGCTGCTATTTTCAGAAGCAATCTTAAGATTATATAAATAGCTGAGTTCATGAATTTACTGCAAAAACCAAAACACGACGGTCTCGATCCAACAATAAAAGCATTGTGTGCTAACAAGTACATTATTATTGAAATTTTGTTGCACTCTGTTCCAGTCACATTGCAGAAAATATGTCCTTTGCAAATGTTACCTTATTTCCATGTTAATGTCCATGTCATTCTAATATTCATTTGCTTTGAAAGAAAGAAAAAAGTGCATTCAGTGTCGTCGCGTAATTTAATACACGTGCACAAGAAAAGAAACTTCCTTCTCTGACAAACACTTTTTTATACAAAGGTACAAAAGATGTTGCACATTAAAAAATCGGCAATATTCATAAAGTAATATTAATTAATTTAAAATACGTGTCTCTATTTCTCTGTTCCAAATCTATATTAGTCTAACTTCAAAAATAAATTTTATGAATTTACTCTGTACTATGTTAGCTCCCAACGTCGTTTTTGCTATTTCCGAAAAGTGACTTGTATCGCTTTCGAAGATTGCATCTGCAGAGAATGGATATGTAATGAACATAAAATAATGAATTAATAATCACAACACTTTTTAGATGAAGGGTTTTAAATTAAGACATTCATTAAAATTTTCTACACTTAATACACATTTATGGAGTTAGCACAAGAAGAAATAATGCTTTTCCTCACTAGGGAAAAAAAAAAAAAAAAAAAAAACACTAAATTTTTTATATTAAATTCACCACACTACATTGTCGTAAGTGTAATCTCACAGCAACAAAAATACAACGCACGTAATAATCTTTTCTGAACTCAGAAGGTAAACGAACGGTATTGTGTTGTACCCTCGAGCCCAGGCAAAGTCAAGGCGTTCCTAAGTACTCCTAAGTAAGAGGAAATCACGTCATCGGAAGCGATATCCAGTCACAAGGAGGGATTTTCCCCTGTGTGCGTAGTGCGGTACAGAATGCTTATATGCAACTCGTGAAGCCTAGAATAAGCTGGTACGCTTGACTTGATGAATCCTAGGATTGTTGCCATTTCAAAGATAAAAATATTGTCGATCACAAATTTTATGAATAAATTACAATTGCTTATGTTGCTTATAGCCTATGTAAATTGAATGATAAATTAGATTAACTATTATTTTTTTTAAATTTTTATTTATTTATTTATTATTTTGTTCCTAGTAAATGTAAGATATTTTAGAATAGAAAAACATAGCTACAAATCGCAACAAAAATTGGCATCACCATAAATTAATATAATGCTATTTACTAAATTTAAGAGGGTACAAAATTGTTAGAAACAGTAACAAAAATTATCTATCGCTAAAAGAGTAAAATTCTATAGTGAAATTACAGTATGAAGAGGTTTTTATTTTAAATGCGGGAAGCCAGTTAAAAAGAGCCCTTAGAAGATGAAGACATACATGCAAGAATAAGATACAACACATGCAAAAGCTTTTCGCACATATTTTTTAGACGATTTTGATTTGTTATAAAAAAAGTCGTCAGTTTGGAAATTTTTTGTTTTAAATGCTGCTATATTTTTGAAAGTATAAATTATCTGCTACTTGTTACTTTTGTTTCCATTCAAAATGACACGTTTAAAGAAGCAAGGTGGAAGGTTATGTTTCCTCTCTTTCCGAAGAAAATTATTAGTATCTAGTTATAAAAAAATCTGATGTGCACCCCACATGACTGCCTTGTACGAAATATTAAATTAATCCTATTTTTTGCTGAATTTCATTTAAACTTATTTCCTCGAATTTCATTAGAGACATATTTCTCATTCAATTAATTCAATTCTCACTTCACGACAAGGCAATAATACGTAAAACTTCAAGTATCTGTATTAAAAATTGAAAAATATAGAAAAATATAAAACGCGAAATACGATTAAACCATTAAAAAAAATTTTACAATTAAAATTAGAGTTTCTACGTAAAAAAAGCAATTCGGCCAGTGAGCAAGAAGGCAGATTTTTCGGTGCACAAACCTGAAAGTTTACTTTTGGTCCCACTCGGCAAAAAGACACGCATGGTGCACAAACTGACTTAATTAACTATTCTGCTAAGTTTCAGACGTAAGCAAATATGGCTGCAATGGTAAAAAAAATTAGGCTTAGCCGCACTTAAACAACGTTTAAATCGTTGATAACTCTATAACTATTGCGTGCAGATTAACTAATGGCATAAAAACCTAAACCGGAAGATTAAGAACAACATAATTCAATCATTTTTAAAGCAAAAAAGTGTACAATTCACCAACATATAAGAATAAAATAACCGAGCTCACGGAGCCGAATAATAGAGCAAATATATATATATATATACATGAGTGTGTGTATATATATATATATACATGTGTATATATATATATGAACATGTGTGTATATATACATGTGTGTATATATAAATTCAAAATAAAGCAATAATTTTCTCGCCAATTTAGGCTAAACTTTCTTAAATAGAAAACTGCACTTTAACGACAACCCTTTTACTTCCTTAATACTTGAATTTAAAGCCATTTGGTATTAAAATTTTGAAGGCAAGTTTGTTAATTTTAACTTACTAGTTTCATCTTTAAATGTCTAATTAAATACTTGTTTTAAACATTAATTTTAAGATTGTATCATTTTTTATCTTCTTATGATTTTGAATCAACTTGTAAGACGTATTCTCTATTATTCCACAGAAACTAAATTAAATCCTACAATGTACCTGGCGAATTCTCGCCCAGGCGTGATCTTACAATGTACCTGGTGAATTCTCGCCCAGGCGTGATCCTACAATGTAACCTGGCGAATTCTCGCCCAGGCGTGATCCTACAATGTACCTGGCGAATTCTCGCCCAAGCGTGATCCTACAATGTACCTGGCGAATTATCGCACAGGCGTGAATAAATTACTAGCACAGAAGAAGGGTGAAAAATAACCCTTTATTAATTCACATTAATTTAACAGAAGGGCACAGACTTCGTGCATTGCAAACACCGTCCACTTCCGGCGGGAACTAAAACTTAGAATATAATACAAGTCAAACCTGAAATAAATAGTTCAAGAGCGCACTTAAGTTTACGCCTAAGAGGTGGATTCATAGAAAATCTAACCGGCGTGATACTAATCTGATAAGGGCAAGAGGCTTACTAGCGTGGCCGCGAAATAACAACGAAACGTGCGCTTGGCTGGCAAACACGCTCTGAATAACCTGAGATGTTCACACGTTTAAATAGAACTTCGCTTAACTTTAAATTTACATCCTGGCGAGAGAATGTGAGGGAAAGTTGAGAAGTTTAGAACAGGAAATCAAACTTAAAATAATTTTTTATGCAAAATAAGAAAAACCCTACAAACTTTTAATGCTCTAATATGTTTACCTCTGTTTTTGAGTTTGAAAATGAGAGTGAGTGTAGGGGATATGTCTTCTAAAGTAAGCATCTCGTTCAGATTAATTGTGTTCTTAATGAGAAGCTTTAATTTTAAGATTATTCGC